CTTCAAAACTGCAAGATATATCTGAGCTGGATATTTTTGTAATCTTTCTGAATGGTTTGAAAAGTATGATGCAAATTATGATTTATAAATAAAAAGTATTATAAATTTTGATTTATATATAGCTATAAATAAAACAAATTTTTTTTTCTTTGTTTTTTTCAGGTGCTCCAAGAAGACCTAATGGTCTTGTCACACAGCACCGCGGAAATACATTTAACTAGGAAGTTCACGCTCTTTCCTTACCGTAATGCAAAATATGTCTAAAAGTTCGTTTCGAACCTGGATTTCCTGCTTATAAAGCAAGCGCTCTAACCACTGCGCCACTTCCGCACAATTTACTGTAACACTCCACAAATAATGCGTGCTGTGACACGACCTTATCATTAATGGCATAAAAAAGCTGACAGCGTAGTTAACGTATGCACTTCAATGAAGCAGATTGGTACTATCAAAATAACAAATTGTCGCCGAATATTTGGTATTTCGGCGGAGTGCCTGGGCGAATATTAGGTATTCGGTTTTTGTCAAAATTACTACTCGTGACATCTCTATTTAAAAGAGTTAATTATTTTGCTTATGATTTTTCTTGTTATACTAATCATTTTAAAGATTTTACCAAATACTTTTCTGAATATTAAGGTGCACAAAGGAGACCTAATGCAGAGTGCGCCACAATATATATATATATATATATATATATATATATATATATATATATATATATATATATATATATATATATATATATATATATATATATATATATATATATATATATATATATATATATATATATATATATATATATATATATATATATATATATATATATACATATATATATATATACATAGACAACACCGTTGTTTTTATAGACAAGCATTAGGTTTGTAGATAAATAAACATAGTTAAAGAGCTCAGTGGAAAAGTGGTCCTACCCACATCTTAAAACCTTTTCAGGTAATCCCTGGCAACTCTATATTAAGTATGTAGCTTGTTGTGGAAAAAGTGAGCCTCAAAACCCATCCATACAATGTTGCTATCTATAACCATATTTGCTTCAAATAAAATTTGAGTTGTGGAAAAGTTTCCTTACAACTACATAGTACTATTAGTATATATTGATATATAGTTTCAACGACAACAACAAGCAAGTCCCTAGTAGCCCTGTGGTGCGACGGACTTGCCTATATTTTTTAAATGCATGGTTCAATAGCCAGCACTTTATATTATAAACTACGAATTTTTAAGTTTATTATTTTAACTCAATGTCAAACACGCATGCGTAAAACAGTTAACGCTTTTTATATATTGTAACTTGTTAACGCTCTTTATATATTGTAAATTTTTGTGGTGAACATTTATATAAACTGAAGACATAAATGTTATTTGTTTTTGAAATATTTAACAATGATTGTTGTTAAAATAAAAAAAAATAAAAAAAAAGTAGCATTTGCCACAAATAACATGGCGTTTTGCCACATTAAATGAATAGCTCAGATTTGAAAGACTTCCTAATAAAAAGTGATTATGATGATTTAGTTGCAAGTAACAACCCGTTTTTAAACGATAATGTTAGTGAAGACATTTATATAATTAATGCAACATCAAGATATATTTTTATTTGAGTTTCTTATAGAACAATATAACTTTTAGGTATATTTATTTTATTATCAATGAGAGATTCGGTTTAAAGACTTACTATTCGTCAGGTTTGTTTTATTATCAATGACAGATTCGTTTTGAAGAGTTACTATTCGTCAGATTTATTTTATAATTGTAAACTTTATAACTTTAACTATTAGAGTTATTATTTGTTTTAGTATTTTAGAGGAGCAATAAAATATGAAAACAGATCTCTACTTAGAAACAATAGAAGCATCTCATGCTTTAAGAACAGGTGAAACTATTAAAATAAGACTCTATACTAACAACTTTTTTTTTTCTTTTTTTTATCTTTGATTTAAAAAAAGATTAAAAAAATACAATAATCTTAGAGTTATATAGTTCATAAACTACTCCTTAGTTTGGCTTTAACAAATGAAAACATTTAACAACTCATTCTTTGTTAGTTTATTGTTATTAATAATTGCTTTATTAGCAGTTAAATATGAGTGATAGCCAATTTTACCGGGTTTTAAACACTAGTTTTGGTACTCAAATAATAAAAACTTTTATAATTGTTTTCGCCATGATTGATTTGTCAATTTTATCTCTATATCATTAAAGTTTGTTTTTTTGGAACGCAATTTATTATTAATTTTTCAAAAAAATGTGTTTTCTTCATTTGAAGTTTCTTGTGTGTCGCCTTTAATTTTTAGTAGTTGGTTTGTATAATTTTCTGTGAACGGTGCTCAAAAATTTTAATTAGCTCAAAAATTTTAATGTATAAAATCATTTTGATCATTTTTTCAAATTGAATTTAAAATCAAATGTTTTCATTTTAAAAATCTTTTTATAAAAACGCTTGTTTTTTTTGTTTTTTTTTCGTTTTTAATTTTTGCCAAGGAATCCCTAACTCTAAATAACTTTAAAAAAAAAATAGTTCTAAATAACTTTAAAAAATCATTGTCTGTTCGAGCAACTTCTACAACATTCTTGATAACTACCGATATAACCATTTTTTTTTTATGAACAGAAAAGTTTATCATGATGTTTACAAATTTTTTGCGAACCATGCTGGCCTACTATATTAATGCGAGTTTAACAAAATCTCACAAAAATTTTAAATTTAGACAAAGTGAGAAGGCAATTATAAACTTAAGTTTGCGCTGCACGAAACTATTAGGGTAACATTTTTTAATTAGATCTAAATAAAATAGAATTACTCAAAATATACTGAACATAGGGGAGAGTCGGGTAGCCCCGGACACTTCAGGAAAATATAGATTCTACGCATGTACTAACAGAAAACAAAGTGTCAAAGACACTTTGTTTTCTGTTAGTACATTTTTTAAAAGTTCAAACATTCATCTATCGAATTAGAAACAAAAAAATAATTATTGTGCGTTTTATTAATATACAAAACATAAAAGAAAAAATGTTAGAAAAACGGCATGTTTCAAAATTGGAGGGTAGCCCACATAGTTTAAACATGATTTTACCTCTTTTTTACCAGTGTGACACAAATGTAATAAATAATAATTTAGCATTGGACTGTTCTCGATACATTTTTAAAAAAATCGCCTTAAAAAATTGCTTCTGATATATAAAGAATAAGAATGAAAATGTCATCATTTAAAAATATAAACATAAGCTTTTTTATAATGAAAATAAACACTTTAAAAACACTTTTATCTAATCTAATATTTTTTTATTGGAATTAAATGAATTACTATTACAGGTTTGTGTATTATATTAAAAGTATTAATATTTATATAAAAAGAGTTGTTTATTATTAATATGTAAACAAAAAGTTGTCCGGAGCCACCCTCCAAACATGTGTACGATACCACCCCCTCATTCACAAATACTAGTTTTAAAACCAGTGAATTTAAGTTTTTAACGAATTTTTTTTTTAATAACTAATGTAAATAAAAATGCTTATTTAATCATTAAAAAGTTATTAGTTTACATAAAAATTAGGTATATTAATATGTGAATCAAATGTGATGATACGTCGCTCTTTTGGTGGTGGGAAACAAAATCTTGCCCTTCCAGTCATTCGTTTCGGTATATTATGATAGATATTTTGCATATGCCATATTTTCACTCAAATAATTTTATTCTACTATTAAAAGTCACATAGCTTTTTTATTTTAAGCTGTACATCAGGTGGCCGGAGTTACCCGCCGTCCGGGGCTACCTGACTTTCCCCTATGTCAAAACAGACTCAAGTTGTAAGTCGCCATAGATAAAAAAAAAGAATACCAAAAACCAAGTTTTCATAAAATTCGATACTTTTTTAGTAGCTTCTATAATTTGATTTTCAATGATTATTAATCTGCATTTTAAATGCTTAGAGTTTTATTTTTGAAAATAAGTTCATAAAAAACCTTTGCTGATGCAATATTTAAATAATTTTTATAAATCAAGAAAAGCAGTGGACCAAGATTTGACCATTGTGGGACTACCCATACAATTTTTGTCCTCTTGATTCATTGTTAAAGCAAATTTTTTATTTTTAATAATAGCTTTTATTTGTCACTCCGTAGTTTTTTATTTATCACTCCGTAGTTTTTTATTTATCATGTTGTTAGCGTTAAGTAAAAACGAAAATTGCACAAAGAACATAAAAACACAGTCGGAAGCTACTCAACAAGGTTCAGAAATGTTTAGATTTTCTAGATTTACGATTGTACAGTGAATTACTCTCTCAAAGTAGCCCCCAAATGTAGTCTTCATCTTAATTTTGTTATACTGTCCTTTGTAACGACGTTCAAAGTCAAATATATCTTGATGAAAGCGCTTGCCTTGCTTTATGGAGCAATATAAGCGCCCATGTTCTCCTTGAGTTTGTCGAGATGAGTTTGTTGAATCAAGGTTATGGACTTTCAAAGACATTCCGCATCCCATTTTGGCGTAATTCTTTAAGAGAATCTGTACCTGCTCTATATAGTTTTTAGCTTTGTGATTACTTTGAAAACCCTGAGTAACTGAAACGGAATTGCTCCGAGCCACTCCCTCCGTCCTGTTCAACAGCTCTGCAAAATCCTCACATTATAAGATCTTCTTGATTTGTAATCCAACGAATATACCAGCCCTGACCGTAGACTCGGAGTGCTTTGGAAAAAGATTTTGGAGGTTTTGAAATGCTGCTGACTCCTTGTCAAGAGCAGTGACGAATTGCTTAACAAGACCTAACTTGATGTGCAGCGTTGACATAAGCACTTCATGAGGTTCTATCGGCTCCCACATCAAATTGCTCTTCCCCTACAGAAAATTCGATCCGTTGTGGTTAGTTCTTTTTGCAATAATGCGCCTTAGTGTCACGGCTGTCCGAGAGACAAAGAAAATATTGTAGAAACATCTGGATAACTCAAGCAGTTCAGTAATATTATAAGAAGGAAGCTCAGCATTGAAAGCAAATCGGGAATTTGATTGAAAGTGTCAAAAATCATTGTCCCGGTCACCGAAGTAAATTATTTTTGGAATAACAGCAATTTCCTTTCTGTTCTAAACCTAACGGGTTAGGAAAACACACTTTCAACCCAGGAACAGAACAAACGTGAAAATTTGTTGCATAGTGTAACTGTAGAGTGAAGTTATTATTTACAAATTCTTTAGCAATTTGGTCTACTATTTTAATTATTACGTCAATCAAGTGCTAAAGACGATCAATTTTCTGGGTTGTAATGGATAGCCGATGTACTGAATCAAGTGCAAAAGATTGTATCATCGTCAGATTGACAGCAAAAAACAAGCCGGGTATACATCTAGAATGACTGCTAATTCAAAAAACCATAATCTAAAATCTGCTAAAATAATAAACCATCTATCCATCCAAAAAAAAAAAAACAACATTGAAGCCCTACTTCAACAACAGTAACGGCAACAGCAACAACGTCACTTTAGGAATTTGAGTCTGAGGCAGAATATCAAGAGCCTGAAGATTCAGAAGAATCCTCAGGCTCTTGATATTCTGTTCACAAGCATTAGCAAAAAATACAGTAAAGCCAAAGCTGCAAATATAATATAGTATTTTCACATTTATGAACCAGCAAAGCAGCAAACATTTGTTGACAGTTATCTCAAGATAAAATTGAAATTCAAAAACCTATACATTTTCGTACATTGAGTTCAATTATTAAAGAAGCTGGTAAAATTATGGAAGAAATAAAAAAAACACCATATCTAGTAAGCTGGTCACTGCACTTTAATAGAAAACGTTTCAGTCACTAAAAAAATAAAGTGTTAGTGCTGAAAAATAAACAAAGAAAAGTTATTTTATTAGTACTAGATCTACCAAACGGAAGAGCAAATATGTTCTTAACGGTATAACAGCAGTTCTCGATGGTCATTATTTATGTAGGAATATAAAGATGATTGTAACTTACACTACAAATGTAAACACTAGAAAAAGGAATGAGATTGTCAGCCAATAACAAAGATGTTTTACTAAAAAGAAACTAGAAGGACCAAAATTTATTAGTCGTCAACATCATGTTTTTGACCGAGTCTTGGCTCAGTAGTGGATGAAGAATTTGCAGAAACCAACATGAGGCCCAATATTAAATATCCGTTTATTCCGGAACTGTTAAGATCTTCGAACAGTTATATATATATATATATATATATATATATATATATATATATATATATATATATATATATATATATATATATATATATAACAGTAAAAATAGTAACTGTAAATTTGATTACAAAAAAATTTTTATCTAAGTTAACTTAATTAACTTTTTATATAGACATTGATATACGCCGAATGTTAAGGGAATCTGCGAAAAGATTTTTTATGGAGTTTTATACCCGAAAATGCTAAATCTTCTTTGATTTTCTTTTTTTTTTAGGTATTAAAGTACACAAATATATATATATATATATATATATATATATATATATATATATATATATATATATATATATATATATATACATATATATATATATATATATATATATATATATATATATATATATATATATATATATATATATATATATATATATATATAATAGTTATTATACCAGAATTTATATTAAAGTTTGCATCAATACTATATTTATATATAAATGTTATATTAACGTATTTTTATCAATCTGATACGTAATAACTTTGTATATATACTTTCTTTTTATCACGATAATAAATGTATATTTTATATGGCATACCTGGAGAAGAAATAAATAATAATAAATAAATAAATTAATTTTAGGGACTTTTTGTTTCCAGCCTCCAATCATCATTATTTTACATAGGTATAAACATACAAATGCATGGAGTTCGTTCCATGTCTGTAAGTTAGCTTAAACACAAAAAAAATTCTGGATCCGTCACTGACTGTTAACCTAAAAAAGTGACATTATAAATCAATTTTTGTATTTTAACTAAAAAGGTCAAGAGCAATATTTTGTTCAAGTTTTCGTGTTTAACACATTTTTTTTAAGTTTAAAGGCGTGGAAACTGTTCCAATATGTCCATAAAAAACATTTTACACAATTAAGATTTTTTCATAAAATAATAAAAAAAAATACAGATTTCTTTTCACGATTTGAGGAGCCGCAGCGCAGTGGTTGCGCACTTGCCTCAGAAGCTAGAGATCCGTGATTCAACAACATCTATGAGCAAGTTTTATAAATTGGTACGGAAAATAGCGTGAACTTCCTTTCAAATGCTTGCCCTAGGTGCACTGTGATAAAACCGTAAGAAAGGCACCTAAAATAAAATAATAAAATCTTTGATAATGATAAGCTCCAATAATAGAACAAAAACATTTTTGATTCAAAAAGTCGTTTCTTCAATATTTGATTATTATTGTTTTGCATTTTTCTAAAAAGAAAAACTTAGAAAGTTAACCTTGTAAAAAAATGTAAATGCACTGCTCGGGCAAAAAGTTGATTTTTTTTATATCTTACTTTAACATTCAAGTACCTTGAATGTTAAACTAAGGTATAAAAAAAACAATAATTCACAGCATCATAGAACAATAAATTTTTTTGCAATTAAAAAAATACTGAGGGACTATCAAAACACAACTTTTTTATCAAATATAATATAAAATCTAAAACAAGCATCAAATCAAAGTTTCACACCAAAACTTACAAGCCACTCCTTTCTCCACACCAACTAGAGTTTTATCAAAGGATTCTGCACATTTCTAAAAACAAATCAAGGATTTAGATTTTAGACACAAAATTTTAGATTTTAGACACAAAAGATTTAGAATTTAGACACAAAATAACATTTTGCCTTTTGTAAGTAACAATTTGTAAGTAATAATTTGTAAGTAATAATTTTTAAGTAATATTTTGTAAATAATATTTTGTAAGTAATAATTTGTAAGTAATAATATGTGAGTACCCAGCAAACATTATTTAAGTGAATTTGCAGTGAACCTATATATAGGCATTTTTTAACGGTTTATTGGTATTTTGCACATCGGTTACTTAGTTGACCATTAGTGCTAACCGCTTTAAATGGCAAGCCGATAATTTTCTGATATATTAATAGTAGCTTATCATTGGCTAGCAACTTTTAGCGGCTGCTAATAATGGTCCACTAAGTAACCAATGAGCAAGACTACAGCGGTCCGCTCAAAATGCGTATTAAGGTCTACTGATATTCCGCTTTAGAATGTTTGATGGGTGATAACTTGTAAGTAATAATTTATTAAATTCTATTGTCTCAATACAAACACAACTAGTTTTTTTTTAATAAAAGCGGATCCAGGATTTTTTGTTATTGAGCTATATAACTTCCAGGAAAGTTCTAAACTCCAAATTTTTGTATTTTTATACTTTAGTCATCATTTAAGGATGATTTGCCCAAAATTGCGCGGATTAGAGTCTAGGAACAAAAAAACCCTAAAAAGTAGGCATCACCCTCCCAAATGTGGGGTAATCGGTATATCTAAATATAAATTCTAATATCCTAAATTAGGTGGTAATATTGTTAAGGTTCTAAAATTTTTTTAAAGAATATTATGTTGTTTAGAAATTATACCAAGTTTAAATTTACAACCCCCTCGTTTTGAGGGGGCTCTAAACTTTAAATGGCTATAACTTTTGAACGCTAGATGACTTTGGGATCAAACTTTAAATACAGGTACACATATATAAATTTTATTATAGGAAACAATTATTTTTTTTAAATAATCATTTTTCCTCTCATTTGGGTGGATGATGCCTACTATTTAGGATATTTTTGTTTCCAGGCTCTAATCAACGCAATTTTTGGTGAAGCGTTCTTAAATAACATATGTATAAGCATAAAAAAGTTTGGAGTTTAGAACTTACTTGAAAGTTATTTAATTCGAGAACCAAAAAATCCTGGATCCACCCCTGTATTTGATATATTTCCAAAAGCACTATTTATAATGACATAATCTATGGTTCTGTAAAAGTTTGCGGAAGTATTAGGCTATAATAATGCATAGCAAACTTACTTTTCAGACTAATTTATTTAGATATTTTATTTCTTCAGATTTTTTCAATCACCAAACCAAATGTTTTTCTGCTTGATTTTGTAAATAAACGAATTTGTTTTTCAATAACTTCTACAAAGTACATTTACAGCTTTTACGAAACCATTGAGATAAATTTAAAAACCTATGTAAAACAGTTTTATATGTAAGTTTTTGTTAATTCATAACTTCTCAATAAACTCTGCATGATCAGACCATGACCATTTAGACTTATTGTTTTTAAACTACTTGAGCTTGAAATAAGAAATTTATTTTAAGAAATTTATTTATAATTTTAAAATTATTTTAAATTTCTTTATTATTTTTTGTTGTTGTAGTTGTAGTTATTTTTTTTAACATTTATTTAATAACATAACTTTATGACAAAGTTAATGGCCAGAGCATGATGGCCGTAGCACGATGAAGAAATGTTCCAATTTTATAAGATTTTAGAGGATTATAGAGTATATACTGAGAATTAAATAGATGTTTACAAAAATATAAAAAATAGTTTCGAATCATACCAAGATGTTATCATCAATAAATTTGAAATTCCTTGCGATAATGATCATTATTATTTCTTAATTTTATTTTAAAACAATCACATAATCAATCAGATAAAACCAAACAGTGACTTTATCTGATTGATTTTAAAAGAAACGCTTGAAACCTAGCGAATCAATATCTCTGTTTGATAAATATCGTTTTAATTAGCTTTTAAACTGCTTAAGAAAAATATTTTTTTCTGAAACAATGTTGAGAAAGTTTTTCCGCAAAAATAGTTAGCAATTGAAACTTAGTGAATCAATATCTATGTTTGATAAATATCGTTTTACTTTTGCTTTTATACTGTTTAAGAAAAATTTTCTTTTCAGAAACAATGTATAGGAAGTTTTTTGGCTATTCTGAATTAAAATAGAATTTAGTTTTGAATGAATTTTTATTTTATTTTATTTATTTTCTTTTATATTTTCATGGTTGTTAAGGAGCTCCAAGAGTTTTTTATGGTCTTCCTGCAGATTACCGCAAAACAGCATTTAATAGGACGTTCACTCCTTCTTCTTTTACCAATCTTGCTAGTGTAACTGGAGTTGACATCTCACCTTAGATCTCTTATTTTCTGCAACAAGCACTCTAACCACTGTACTCCAATTGCTTATTTTGTTACGTTCAGATAGTTTGACGAAAATCTTTTAGTAAATATAAAGTTTTTCCTTTAAATAAGTCCCACTGATTTTAAGGTTTGTTTATCACATAAACAAAAGAAAATATATATAATTCAGCGTAATAACAATATTAAGCAATATTTCCGAAAGTATGAAAAAAACACTTTTTTTTAGAACAGATTTTTTATAGAGTATAGTTTTTATAGAGTTAAAACCTAGAACTGGCTAAAGTCTGTAAACTCTGCCAATGTTTTTTGTGATATTTTTTAGTTAGAGTTTATATGATAAATTTTTAATAAATTTAATTCTTTACAATTTTATGTGTAATTGTCTTTTGATATAGTTTTATGGATTTTTAGTATTGATAATTATTTTATTGATGTATTGAGTAAGATTTTTCTTTTTTTTAGCTTTGTTTGTAAAACAAAAAAAAATTAAGTTTTTGAAAATTCAAACACAATGGCGGATCCAGGATTTTTGGTATTTTGAGGTAGCTAACTTCCAGATATGGAGCTAACTACAAACATTTGTATGTTAATGATTATGTAAAATAATGAGAATTGCAAAAAATAGCGTCGATTGGGTTACAAATTTTATTTGGTCATAATTATTGAACGCTGAAAGATAATACTATGAAACTTATAATTTATCGATGAATATAAGTCTAGTTGAGAGTAGTACAAAAAATGTTTAATCAAATTGTTGCCCCTCACGTTTAGGATGGGGGTTGGGGATGATGGCAAAGGACTTTTTTGCTCCCTACCTTCAATCAATGCAATTTTTTGCAAAACCTTTTTACTTGACATAAGCATAAGCATACAAATGTTTGGAGTTCCATGTCTGGAAGTTTTTTCAAACACCAAAAAATTCTGGATCCTTCACTGGTTGCATATCAACCATTAACTTTGTTATATTTGATATTTGTTTATAAAATAAATAAATTTGGAGTCATTTGCAAGCAAAAATTAATAGATTAAACGTTGAAGACTTATTTGTGGTATAAAAAAGATAAAGTTCTAATATAATCCGCAGAAGTTTTAGTCAGACACAAAATGATGTATTGCATATTTTGTCGTTTCATAGTAAAATATAGCATTCGCTGCGGAATAAATTATAGCATATTTTGTCGTTTCATAGTAAAATATAGCATTCGCTGCGGAATAAATTATAGCATATTTTGTCGTTACTACATTTTCACATTAAAAGTATTGTTTTCTGTTCCACAAATAATTTTTAAACCAGAATAAATTTGTATTTATAAATCCGTAATGTTTCATATATTTTAATACAATGCTTCATATATTTTATTACAATGTTTCATATATATTTTATTACAATGAACTGTTTTAGTCAAAGGTTAAAAAAAGATTAATCAAAACTCCTATTGTAAAACAGTCGCCTTAAAATACATTTTTAAGATGCATTAAATGATTATCTTATGCTACCATTGCTTAATCAATGAAATCTCTCTCTTTTTTTTTTTAACCAAGTTACTTACTGTACAACATTATTTTTAATTGCCAAATGTACATTTAAACTAAGTTACTTACTGTACAACATTGTTTTTAATAGGCTAATGTACATTATAGTCTGAATTGAATATTCTGAATGTTAAGACAGAGATATACATCCGTATATAGGGTTTGAATAATTTCTAATTTCTAACTTTTGGAACTTTTTATAATTTTCCAGAATTTTTTCTGAATTAATTGACTGATTGGAAATATTAAATAAGTTTAATTGAATAATACCATAGACTAAAATTAATATAATCTAACCGTTAACCTTATCAGAGCATCCTTTTTTTAATTATTTTTAAATTTGTCTCACTCACTTTTTTTTAATCATAAGTAACAACATAAAACTAAAATGTTCACACACGTTGTAGAAATGTTTCGTTACAGCCAAAAAAAAGCTGTTCAATTTTCTTTAGCAGCCACAATTTTATCGTGAATTAATTCAATTTAAAACCAGTATGACGTAACCTTTTTATATTTGTTTAGCCTACTATTTTATAATTAAATAATTTTTTGCTTTGTTTCCATTGGCTTCTTTTAGCATATTTAAATAATTTTTTTATTATTCAAAGTACTTATTAAACTTTTTTAAATAGACTTTTTTAATTTCTATAAATTGTTCCATTTACACTCGCCATTTAGAAAATTCTCTTAAAGCGGTTTTTTCAAAAAGATAAAAGTAAAGCTTTCGTTAATCACGGCGACAGAAGTGATTTTGAATTAATATAATAATTTTTTTTTTTTTACAATAAACATGCTTTGAGCTATAAAAAAAAAAAAATTAAAAGATTTCTTTTGCATCACGCGATTAAAGTACAAGATTGTATTACCATTTTATAATATTTACAAAGTTGATAAATATATAATGCTTGTATTGAGCAATAACACTCGAATGTAAAGTGGCATTGTTATATAGCGTTTTGTTTAACAAGATATTTAACCTGGTTTTTTTCTCGGAAATGTTTTGCAACAATTTAGTTAGCATCTAATTTGGACTATTAACAAATTTTTTTCTTTTGGTTCATTGACAGGATTAAAATACACCAAATCATGTTGTTAATACTTTAAATAGAAGCCAACGACATAAAAGTTTTTAAACATAATTTGATTTACAACTTTAAAAAAATAGTTATAGTAATATAGAGCTAATTATAGTACTAACACTATATATAATATAATATGTAATATAACTTTTAGTTTATATAGTAATTCTATGCAACATTTTTTTTTTAAATAAGATAAAAATGTATTCAGAAAATACATCAAAAACGCTCATCATTATCATTAATTTAGATTATTTTACTTTGATGTTGCTGGGTATCTTTTTCTTTTCCTTTTTATAAATACAATCTTTCAGAATCTGCTATAAAAAATTGTAAATTCATGAATTGTGTATTAGTGCTGTTTATTGTAATATATAATTATATTATTATTCGCAATAAGAATAAATAAACCGCATTATTTTTTTAAATACTAACTTTTTATTATCATGGCATAAATGCAGAAAATTTGGCCGAAAGGCTATACATTTTATAAAATGAATTTTTCTCTTTAAACTTTACAATTATTTTACTGTATTTAGTAAGCAAAATAAATAAACAAAATAAACAATTAAATAAAA